TTGGGGGGCCTGCGAGGAGCCCAGGCTGCCGGCTCCATCCCTGGGCAGGAGTGGAGGCTCTGGCCCAGCTGGTTCTGCGAAAACCTCGATGGCGGGCACCTGGCGGCTCCCAGAGCCTCCTCAGCGTAATTACTTAATCACATCACGCCAGTGAGCCCTGCGAGCTGGGAGCCCCTGGGGACTCCCGCCTTGTATATGGCTCTGCGCTGACTCCCTCACTGAATGTCCATCTCCATGTGCACTTTATCTTTCCAACCTCCAAGCCGGCGCACATCTCACTGCTGCCCCGTGCCTCTGTGGCTTTCATGTTGTTCTGCTTTGGGAGCAGAAAAGACACCCGGGCATGAGAAACACAGATCTTCCCGTCGGGAATCTCCACGTTGGCACTGCCCGTCCTCTGTCTCAGGTCCGGACAGGGTCCTCCTACGCTTTCCAGCAGAGACAGGGCTCGTGGGCGGCCTCGAGGGAAGAGGGAGGGACCAGGGAGCTGTGAGCCCTGAGCGCCTTGCATGTGTGACCAGCAGTCTTCCCCGGGGAGGCAGCTGGAGAATGTCCTAAGGACTCATTCACTGCCTGCCAGCCTGGAGTGCCGAGGTCAAAGGTGAGGAGTGATTGTGAAACTATGAAAACTCTTGGCTCCAGGCCTGCTTCCCAGCCCTCTGTCCAGAGTCCGTGTGGGCTGTCCCCTGAATGGGCGCTCACGGATCTCCCCGCCCAGCTCTGCCTCTCGATCATGACTCGTGGCCGTCGTGAATATATGGCAGACACTGTTCCCAGTGCCTTCCATGTATTAGCTCAGTACGTCCTCACCACAGCCCTGTTCCCACTCACGTTTTACATGTCAGAAGCCTGAGCAGGGAGGGAGTCCCCAGGGCCATGGGGGGAGGGTGTTGGGCGGGGGGATTTAGACACAGGCAGGGGGGCGCCACAGGCCTTGCTCTTAATCACACCCTAGGCTGCCTCTCCACCCAGATCACTAGGTTATAGCTGCCCCTCTGAGTTCATTCACCCATCCAGCATCTAGCATCCATCTGCCCATCCACCCACCCACCCAACCATCCATCCATCCATCTGCCCATCCACCCACCCACCCAACCACCCATTCATCCATCCACCTACCCACCCATCCACCAACCCATCTATCTATCCATCCATCCATCCACCCACCCATCCATCTATTCATCCATCCATCCACCCACCCATCTATCTATCCATCATCCATCATCCACCCACTCATCCATCGACCCACTCATCCATCCGTCCATCTGTCCATCCATCCACTCACCTATAGATTTATTATGAACAGATAGTATACGGGTTACTGGGTAGGCTGAAGTCCACATTTGGCAAAGGAAGGAGACACACAGTTTTGCTTGTATTAACACATGTTAGACTGCACGGGTGGAGATGCGTGGACGGGAGGCTGGGGTCTGGTCAGCATCTTCGGCTGCGGGAGGGTGCTCCCCCAGCACCTTCACTGTGGGCCTTACTATGGACCCTCCTCTGGCCGTCCCAGTTGTCATCTCTCCTTTCCTCTCTGCACTTTACCGGGAGGCCCTCTTCTCGCCCCCGATGTTCACCTTAGTTCTAAACAACGCTGCATTTTTGCCGAGTCATCAACTTCATTTATGGGGGAAACTAATTGGGTTTTCTGTGACAAATGACCCAGACCAGAGGGGCATAGGGGTCGATGGCACTGACTGGTGAAATGATCACTGAACACACCTGGTCCTGCCCACGCTTGGCAGCTGCTCGGGGGCAGGTGAAACTCACTGCGGGACGAGGCCCAGGTGACCACGAACCCAATCGTGCTACCACCAGCGGGAATTCAAACGTCAGCACAGGCTGTTGCCAGGAGACGGCGTGAGGGCCAGTGGCAGGCTCTGTGCTCCCATCGGTGCAAAAGGAAGCAAACCAGCTCTGACAGATCGATAATCAGCATGGTGGCCGGGTTTTCAACAGCCAGTGAATGCGGCCTCAAGGTTGAGTCTATAGAGCCACGCTCGCAGCTCAGGTCTTGTTCCTGGATTTGATCTGCCCGAGCCTCTGTGAAGTGTTACCCACAGGACACAGTTGGCAGCCAAAAAAAATCTCACGAGAGAAATAAAAGCAT